CAGAATCAGGGAAATTTCCTATAGTTTCAAAGTCAGTTGTTTTTAAATGGCACTTCAGATCAGGTTTTTGGTATCCAAAACAGTCTATTCAGTAGTGCTGAGAGACACTGCAATGCTGCTAGTCAAAATACTTTTCCTGGGATGCCCTTTTGTTAACACAGTGTTACAGAGATAGACGCATCCTAGGCCCCTATTATGAAAATCCTACAGCATGGGGGACTTCGGTATAGACATAATCCTGGAGGATTAGGATAGGATCCAAGGACACCAGAGCAGTGATCATGACACAGCAAAGCAGGCAGCTAACTGCAGAAGCAGAGGAAGGGTAAGGTGTGTCTTGCTTTTGTAGCAATTCTGGTTGTACACAAAAATATGGGGCATGCACCTCTTCCAAAAACTGATCCACCATGTTCAAGCTTTCTAACCCTAAACTTTAACATCAGTACTTTGAAAGAAAACAATTTCCGTCACTAAACTGACAATTTTTCAGTTGTTCACTAATCAGGGCATGTATCTAAGTCCTTTCCTCATGTAACATTTAAATTGTTTGCTATCACTGTATAAATATGTATTTTGAGAAAGAACAGTCAAGATAAACTAGTCATCACTAGACCATATTTCAATTAACAAATAGCAACATGCACAGTTACTAATTTTAATGTATAATATGAAAATGCCTTGGCTTCATTCAATGTTTTACAATTATTTGTAAGGCAAAGACAATTCAGATTTATTTCTTATACTTAGTGCCTTAAGCTATTAAAATAAAAAGTCTGCAAGCTTTTCCAGGATCACCTAACCCAAATAAGAAACACCTAAGTTCTCATAAAACTAGTAAATGGCACAGACATGCTCTTTTAACCAACCTCTTAGTAGAAAACAAGCATAGATTTCTAAATTTAATATATTAAGAATGACCTTCGTCTAACTACTAGATTGATCTCAAAGAATCCTTAACAAAAAAGGCACAATTATTACAAACCTGATTTACAAGCAAACTTGTTTACAAAAAAATCTTAACTTTCTTTGATGATAGCTGTACTGCATACTAGTGAGAGAATTATGCTAGTCTGCTATATTCAGACTTAGTTATGTCTGAATATTGATTTATGTCAACCATATTGATTTTAAAGAACAGCAACGTGCACAAAATGAACAGTATTTACAACTGTAATTATCATTAGTTCTAATCATCACTTACTCTTGATCCTTTTTCTGGAAAGCACCGACAAACTGAACAATCCTGTCCCCCACATGGCTCAATATATGCATATCCTCCCTAAAAATTAAAAATTTATGGATTTATCAATATGCAACAGACAACAATCACTTCATCAAATATTGTCAACTGGACATATTATCCACTTAGATGATTTTTAAGGCAAAAGATTTGGCTACCCTTGCATGCCCAGAGGGCAATGTGATTCTGAAGAAACCTGGCATAGCAGCAAACATTGGAATATTGTGTAGATCTTCAGCTTGACAGATATGAACCTTTTCCAATGCTTGCTTAATAGAATACACACATCAACACTACATTTAAAATCCTGCTAACCTTCTTGGACCTCTCATCAGTATAAACATGCTGGCAAAGTAGAAGCAATAATCAAAAGCTTATTACTGTTGCTGTAGAAGGTGAAAGACATTACCTGCAAGTTATGTTAAGTAATGCTAAATACAAATAAGGAAATAGGCTGCATCTAGAAAAAAATTTAACAGAATTAGAATTTAATTTGTAATTATGTGAAATTTGTAACCATTCACATTAGGTTAGGAGATTGTTTAACTACAATTAAATGATAAAAGGCAAAACAGGCTGAAGAGCGACAAGCCCAGACAGCAATAAAGCCTTGTATTTAATTCTTGCCTATTAAATTAAAAAAGAAGTATGTGTGTGGTGAAATTATGCATTGCCTACTTATTTTACTTATTTCTTGTATTATAACTTTCTGTCGTTGTCCTCTTAATAGTAAAGAAGTGACTATTTTGTTTCATCAAATTGCAATGAGGAAAAAACCCATATTCAAGGAGAAACTGAAACACAACAAAATGTAAATTCAGTAGACCTATTGTGTGTTAAGTGAACATTATTTTATTACTTTTTTCTATTTCCTGAAGTGTAGGATTAAACATATACCGATTATACATACCATATGCATTTACAAACTCACTTAGATGGCTGGAATGTCCACTAGGTGACATTATTTTTTCAGCAAAATTGTGTAAATGATCAAAGTAATTTTAAAAGGATGACAAGGACTTAAAAGATTTAAGAATAATTTAGGTAAACATGTAAACAGTGATAACATGAAAGTATTTGCTCAGTGTGGATTTCATTTTTATCAAGGTCAACATTGTTTTATTACTGGTTTCAATAATCAACAGAACACTATAGGTTCATACTTCAATTTTTCAAGGAGAAAACACTGACAAATATTAGATAAGGAGGAAAAATTCTGTTCAATCTACAATATTTTTAGAATATCTGGTACTCCCAAACCTCAGAACAAGAGGGTATGATAGTCTTTCTCACAGACTGCTTCTCTTTCACACACTGGGTTTCCCATGAAGTTACTAATCTACTCCACACTAGTCTCCCACCTAGTTATTAAAAACTTGCCTCTACTGGAATGTCAATGGAATGCAAGTTTCTAATAACACATAAGCTGCTACCCTTTGTTCTAATTGAACACATTTATTTTTTAAAAATACTTCAATTTTCAACATTAACTAAAAAGGGATAACTTTGAGGGAAAAACAACAAAAAAGAGCTTTTAAATATTTTGAAGAAACAAAGAGGACTGACTTGAAAGAAATTTTAGTGAGGGCATTGCAAACATAAGGTTAATATGGAGGACAGTAGAGAGAGGAAAATAAAGTCGATATTGAGACTATATTGTATGTGAAATTTTGGCTTCAGAGAGATGGGAATGTATAGGGAGGCCAGTGCAAGATCTAGGCTAACATACAGAGAAGGGCTTGAAAGCTAGTGTTTCCTATATGCTATAATGTAGAGCCATTGATGGGACTTCATGAGGAAGGAGACAGACTCGGTGCATGAGAGAGGTTTTTTTACATGCAGGTTTCCAAAAGCATCTAAAGATGCCAAAGTTAAAATCTAGAAGGATCCAAAGGAGAAAATTACAAAATAGTTAAGCTGAGCAACAGGAACAGAAAGGAAAGTTAGAACTGTAGAAATACTGAAAGAAACATCACAGTTTTCCCACAGAACTATAGGTCATTTTGGTGTATATAGTGTTACTTGTTTGAACTATACCATCCTATCACCTGTCTAAAGTAAATATTAATGTCACTTACCCCGTCAATTTCTTGTGCTGAAAAAACAATCAGCAGCCACCTGATTTAAAAGAAGGAGAAAGCTAAATTAAAACTAAACTTTCAACATCCAATCTTCACAAAATGTAGTCTCGAAAAAGTGAGAAGTGCATACACATGATTAAGTCCTGTTTGGCATGATTATATAGTAAAAGAGTATATTTATAAGGGGCACACACCATCAAGAAATGGTCAGCACATGCTATATATATTTGTCTTTTTGGATTTGTGAGACTGAGTGCAAACAGATAGGCATGAATGAATAAGACTATGTAAAAGTCCTTGTAACTTCCTCCTTGTAACCTATTTCTAATCCCACAATTAGGAATGGCCAGAGAGGAACCATTCCAGACAGATTTCCGCAATTCCACGGACACCATGGGGTGAAGACTGAGCAGAGATGGAGGTGATCTATATCTGCCCCAAAATGAGTTAGCTGGTGCTATTTTCTTTTGCTCAGAGAGAGCACAAGAGAAGGCAGGGAGCAAAGCAGCATTCAAAAGAGCCACGATTCCAGAGCAGCTGCTGGGGAAGGCCAGCTCCATGCCAGCCATTACTAGTGATGGGTTATAAAGTTGAAATCATGTCTTTTATAATTTCTACATGCAAAAAAAGAGCATAAAGTAAAACAAAAAGTTAGCCCAAAATTTCTGCAGCAATACAGGAAATAAGCATTATTATTAATTATTATTAATACTAACATTATTATTAATGAGAACTAAGGTGCTCACTCATTATATGAAATGATAAATTAGATACAGCTGTAACGTATAAACTACTGTGTATTATCTTCCAGGCCACAGTGAAGCTTGTATCAAAATTACTCCAACCTTGCAAATATTTAGGCATTTACTAAATTTCCCAAAGTTCTGTTGAGATCAACCTCTATTTTTATTTTGTTATTCACATGGTCAACTCTTTGGAGCACTGAGAACTATGCCAGCAAACCCATGATTACTCTCCCTGATTATTAATTATTCATAGATTCAAACTGCAAATTATATAACCTGTATATGCACTGATACATATTGATGAATTCAATACTGACCAATTTAAGCATATTTTAGCCATTTACATACATTTAGTCTATACACTTTTTAAACCTATGTTGCCTGCTACTTTTTTCAAATACACAGATTTTACAGAAACAAAATATTTATGAAAATAATTGGTGGTAGCCAAAGACAGAAGCTCATACTGTCTCTTGCTAAATGAGAAACAAAGGACTGATTAAACAATGTGAGATTGCCAGATGATCAGCTACAGCAGTAAATGGTGGAGAAGTTTTGTGAATCCCAGTAGTTCATCCTTTAATGCATCAAATAAGTTTGTGTAGAAAGGAGTTAACTTCACAGAAACACTTCAAACAGGTAGCAGACAATAGCATTGGTTTGTTCCGTGATTGTTACTAATTTAAGGCCATTTTTGTTTCTAACCTTCTGAACTTGCAGACAGTCTCTGTAAATATTTTTTCCCTATCAACATTGGCCACGTGTGAGTTATTTTTCATTTAAGAAAATGCCCAGTTCTCATGAAGCCCTTGCACAACTGAAACAGAAATCTGATGATACTGTTCTTGACGAACATCGCTGCAGTCTCCCCTTTTTCCAGTAATATATGGCAGGCATGTGTTTGCCAGATTGTTCTCTGTCATTTCAAAATCCATGCCTCCCGAAGCCAGACAGATGTTGCCTATGTACTCAAATCAGCACAAGACTGTTAGAGGTAAGTCATTCACAAATAATGCAGAAAAAAGGCAAGAAGAGCTACCTTGGAGAGATGGCTGGGATAGAAGGTTGCTACATTGGGGAACACCTGAGTAACAAGCAGCCTGGGTTTGCACAAACCAAATAAACATGAAAAAGACACTGGAGAGAGTTCAGGCACATTAGCACAACAGAAGACTGCCTAGCAGCGAGCGTGTCAGGTTCAAGCAAGGTACCTTTGCTTGGCCAGGTTCCCAGCTAGAAAAGCATAATTTCACATTCCTAAAGAGCCTGGTGCATGAAGTTTTGTGAAGAAGGAAAATTGGATTGACTTTTCCTAGAGATATTCTAGAGATGGAATCATTGATCCCACACACCAGTCTGAAAATTCCGGGCCACAGTGACCCTAATCTTCTCCCAAGGATCATTTTCCTCCCAAAAGAACTCCTGCCACAGCTGCTAGCAGATATTTCCATCATAGTCTCTAAAAATTTTGTTCATGCCTTTTAATAATTCTCCCTCATCTGCAAAATTATTCTGGGACAGGCATTCAGGTTTGAGTCGGTCATTACTTTTTCTTCTCCAAGTATGTTCATCACTAGAATGTAGAAATATCTTTCCTCTTAAAACAGACTCAGAATTATAGTTCCTGTTTGCTACTATTTAAATAGTGTAGTACATGAAATTTAAATAGCATAAACTGATAGACCAGCAATCAAAGTAAAATACAATAAATTATCATATAGGCTTATCAAATTTATGACAGGCTACAAATTATTTAACTGGTGATTTCTTATTACTGTTAAATTGATAGCTAAGAATGTATCTCAGTGATTCTAGTTAAAAAATTTAGTGATCTGTAAAACTCACCAGGCAGCTGTGATAAGCCACTTAATCCGTTCAAATGAATCCTTTGTTAATGCCATTCACGCTGATTGAGGATCTGTATATGCAGCACTTTTTTTTTCTTTTTTTTTTTTTAAACAGCAGGTCTTCTCTTTCCTTCTGTTTGTGGATGGTCTATAAACACTGTTCCATTATGTTGTTGTTTTCCCCTCTGAACCTGTTTATATTAAAATATATGACTGATGTACAAACATGAATCGTTACTGGATAACCAAAATATGTCTTAACCATTTACATATCTCATACTGCATAGCTTTATGTTGGTACTACATTATATTATTCCTATTCAGAACGCATTTTATTTTATTAAAATCCAATTATTTCAAGGGGACTATATATGAAATTACAGATCAACATAAAAAGGGTACAAGATTTCAGCCCAGAAAAGAGATAGTCTTCACTCAGTGTTTGAAATGTGAACAAAGCGTCTTGCATCATTATTTCTTAAAAAGCTATCACATCCACCATTTTAGCTAAAGGCATTTTAAAAAAAAAAGATGTGACACCTGTCTACAGTAAAGACCTAACGAACTAAAAAAAAAAAAAAACAAAAAACCAAACAAACCCAAAAAAACCTCATTGGCTATAGTTTCAAGACCAGAGTCAGCAGTATCTTCTGCAAACTGGGCTGGACCAGTCTCTGTGTGTACATCTGAGCAAAGGAGGACTACTCTGAATGCAGAATAAGCCATACGCATTTTCAGCTTAAGAGTCCTATCCATATGCATGGACAGATGACAATCATTGGAAACGTTACCTAGATATTTTTTTAGCTTTATTTTTAGAACATTTTTCCACAGCTTTTGCCAGGATTTAGGAAGCTGGAAGCCCTAAGCACAGGACTGACCAGAGGCCTCTACAGCCCCAGACAGTCAAATTTTGCATGCATAAATTAACTACATGGTGCATCCGTGACCTCTGACTTATGTCCAACAGCACATATGCAATTTTAGGTGCAAACGTCCTGCACCAACCTTTTTATAAGCTCAAGTTTCACAAATCCAGAGAAATGGCCAGCTCCTGTGCAAACTTTTACATCCCTCAAATAAGAAAAAAGCTTTAATCCTTTGGAATAAGGTACATCTGGGAAATGATTCACACTGGTTATTTCAAACTGAGGGCTTAAGAGGCTGGGCTTTTCCTCGGATAGCACAGATTATCACAGGCTTTTGTTTTTTAGTGCTGTAGTCTTCCAAATGTGGGGAGGTTAATTCTGAGGAAACTAAACACTGACTACAGTGAACTGACAGGGGTTTGCTTCCTTTGGAGAAGTCTCCTGAGTAAGCAAAGGCAATCAGTTACTTAGAAGGGAGTAAGGATGTGAACCTGCAGCAAACTGGCTGCTCTCTGATAGCTGTTCAACAAACAGCTATCTTTCTGTAAAACAAATGAGTGTACAGTTCCTAAAACATTACTGTCCTGCTTTCTATTATTTAGATAGTGTAAAAATCTTTCTAACCAGAACTAATCTATAAATAATATTGACTCCTATGTGTATACACAGTATATCCATACCCCACAGTATGAAGAGACTTCGTAAGCTACTGTGCACTGACTAATGAGTAAATAGCCTAAGGGCAGCCAATTCAGGCTGCAAGATCACACCCTACATGTTCAGTACAGTACTCCATTCATCTGCCAAATTCTTAGTCTCTTTCTGTGCCCCCGTATCCCATCTGTAAAAAAAAAAAAAAAAAAAAAGAAAAAAGAAAAAAATAACAACACTCCTAATAAAAAATAATATTCCAATAAAATTCACTAATTTTTTACATTAGTAATATAAATAATATAAGCAAGATTGTAAGGCAATAGAGTACTGCAGAGACGGATTGCCTCAAATGGAAAATCGATGTCAGCCATAAGGTGTTAGACTTTGCAGAAATTTGTTCCTGTTGCCCACTATCCATCTCATTATTTAATTATCCAAACAGCTTCTGAAAATGAAGAAGAAATTGAAATTTGGTACATTTGCTTTGTATTAGCAGAGAACCTTTTATTTTAAATTAAAATCCATTTTGATCCAACCCATTGACACAATTTGAAATCATACTTAATGCATGAGTGGAAGACTTAAACCACTCTGCTTGCTATTTCACCATGACTATCTAAACCCCAACATTTTCTGAACAAGCTTCCTATAGTTTCAGCAGCCAATGAAATAAGGACTAAAAAGTGTTATTTAAATTGATATATCAAATTGATCTCATGTTTTATATTTTGTAGTAATCACAACAGTTACGTCAATAGAATACTTACCTAATTCAAAAGAAGATAAAACATCCCCAGGATAACACACTCAATACCACCAAAGGAATAGGTTTTACACAAGCATCACCAAACCTCAGCTCATAAAATTCTCAAAAGCCAGAGGGGGAAAAGCTGGCACTATAATATAACCTAGATGTTTAGTTTCTAGACAAAGACCAAGAAAGAAGACAATTTCATTCTTAGGGACTCTGATAAAATAAGACCACAGGGAATAAGACATAGTTTGAGGCAGACACACAGCTACTATTACTGAGATATAAAAAATTACAGCAGCCCTAACTATATTCTCATTACATCGAAAGAAACCAACATCATGTGTAACAAGACCACTGAAGTTGCAAAGTCAAGGATTCAGAAATTAGGAAATAAAAATTAGGGTTATGTGCTCAATTTTAACGTAGTTCTTTTATGCACATGATTAGGATGGTCATAAGTACAAGAACATATATGCTGTTTTCCATAGGACTTCTGTGTCATTCATGATGGATATATTCTACACCCTCTTCATCCTTTTCCTTAAGCCCTATTTTTTATTTTACAGTGTCCTATGAAACTTTGCACTTTATACTAAATTCACACAACTGTAATGTTTCCCACAAAAATATTCCTTATCTGTAAAAAGAAAAAATACTGTTATCCTTGTTTTAGCATAGAGAACTGAGGAAACAGAATCAAAGCAAAAATCATTAAATATCAATTACTGTGAAAAAAGCCAAACTTAAATTTGTTGCAGCTTTCAACTGCTTTCTAGTATTAAGGTCGACCTCTCTGTTGTTCATGCACTGTTTTTTTGTTTGGGGTTTGCTTTTTTTGTTTGGTTGGTTTTTTTGTAAAGTACCTCTACAGGCAGCTGCAGGTATACATTTTGACACAACTGATGTTAAGCCTGCCCTGGCCAGCTGTTTGGCTAGACAAGACCATCTCTCTGAGTTTGTAGCTCTCTGAAGATATTATGGACCACAACAGCATCAGCAACATAGTCTACATCAAGGTTTCATACACTTTATTTGGATGGATGCCATCAATTATGGTAGCAACAAGCAGGAGAGGAACATCAGTGGCTGATCTTTCATTTGTTCCACGTCAGTGCTACTTTGAAGTCATGTATCTGTCCTAGAAACTCACATAAAAGCACATATGCTTTTATGTGACAATCTCATAATGCAACATTACTTGCTGTTTCTTAACTATGACACACACAACTACCATCCAGCTGGGCCATACTACTTAGCAGCCAGCTGCTCAAGGTCAGTGAAATATGTGGTACTGGGATAAGACTGGGTTCGAAGAGGACTTATTTTTTTAAATGCTCTGTCTTTCTGTTGCACCTCCCTTGTTAGCATATTTCCCATGTTTGCTTTGAGCTTGCTGACATCTTTTTTTGAAATTTCCACACAGGGTTTTCATCATTTGAAAACTGACAAAATAACTTTTTATTATAGCAGTATTTCATTCACTAGGTAGTCTGCGTGTATTCATTTATTTCTCCTAACAGTGGTTTGCCTGCTTTCCTCTCTTTCTTCCAATAGTTATTTGGCCTAGTATTCAAGAGCTCTCCTTTTAAGTACTATCTTCTTTACTCAGAGTCATACTGTTCATTCGGCACCTAAATTTGCATCATTTCTGAGGACTGACCACTCTCTTCCATTGTAGTCTCGCTTGCTCTGACCTTGTTGTCTCAGAAATACTTGCACCTTTTGTCTTCATTTCCATGTAAATGACTGCCTGCTACCTTCTGTCTAACACCAGTTCTTCTAATGTTAAATTTCAGTGGTGGATTTAGGTAGTTATAATTTATAGGTGCTTATGGCTTACAAACAACTGTAGACCCCATTTGTGTCCTTATTACAGTATTCTTGTGTAAAAAAATGTAGCACTGTTACAGTCTACAGGTTTAGGAATCTGACAAAATGCACCAGTTTAGTGGTTTTATCCTAAGATACTATTTCCTCTACATGGTCACCATCAATCTGGCTTGAAAACAGGGGATTTTTCTTCCCCTTTCTCTCTATACCTGGCTTTCACTGATGCTTGAGATTTTAGAGCCAAGGTGATAACATCTGTGATGATGTACAAGACCATTGATACTAAACATATTGTTCTGCTCTTCCAGAGATGCATTCCTGCTGCTAGTGCCAAACTTTTGGGAAAAGTAGCCTCTACTAACTAGCTTTCACAGTGGATTTCATAGAGGGTTGACAGTACCATCTACTGAATGGAGATCCCGCTCTACTCTCATACCTGTAAGAGAAGCTGTTTTACAAAGCTCTGTGGTTAGCTTTACGCTCATGAAAGGCTTTAGATTTGTACCTCATCAGTAGTCCTAAATAGATTTATATACATATATTATTGTACATTGTTGCTTTTTCTGTATCACTTGTAGTGCTTAATAAAACCTGTAACACGGAATTTCCTGTACAGCATTCACAAACGGTACAGATAAGGTAAGATCGCTCTGGCTGGCCTGGCCAACATACTTTCTAAGTTTGCACTATCTCAGAACAGCACTTTATTTGGTGAGATGTTACGTTGAACATGCAGTACTTTTGTCAATAACATAAATGTGATAAACTTGACATACCGCCAACACTTTACAAATCAGGCTTCCATTCAAAAAACTTTTATATCATGCTAAGCTATGTGGAAAGCCTGGGGAGAAACATTTCTCAGATTTCTCACCGATTTAAATTTATGCAGTGGGCAGCACTTTGTCCCTTCTGGGACTCCTCGGTCTCCGCTGTCTCATTAAGAAAACACTTGAGGGAGAGGAAAGCGTCGCTGAAAGGAAAACACTCCCGTCAGTGCCCGGGGGCGCCCCGGGCAGCGGCGGGATGGCGCTGAAGGCCCGGGCTGCCGCCGGCCTTCCCCGCTACCGCCTCACTCACGCACCCAGCGCTGCCGCCTCCCACCTCCCTCCCGCCCGAGTTTAACCGACCCCTTCTCCCCGCCGGGGCGCCACAGGCGACCCCGCTCCGGGAGGGCCCGAGCCGCGTCCTCGCTGGGGTGGTGCCCGGGCGGGTCCCCGTCCCCGCTGCCGCCGCGCAGCCCCGAGGCCGTTCGGGCGGCGCCCACCAACCTGCGCCCTCGCGGCGCCGCGGGAGAAGCGGGCGGGGGACGGAGACAGCCCGGTAGCCTGGGACACCTCCAGCTGTCCCGGGACGCAGCTGACTCCTCAGCGAGCCGCCCAGCCCCGGCAGGCGCCGACGCCAGGCGGGACGGCCCGCGACGTGCGCCAGGTACCGCCGGCCGCGGCTGCCCCTCCGCGGCGCTCGCTCACCTCAGCTCCCAGGCGGGAAAGCCCCCGGCTCCTCGCTCACTCCATGCCCGCTGAGGACGGACGGACGGACGGCGGCTGCCGGCGGTGCCCAAGGCAGGAGGCGCGGGGAGGAGAGGAGAGGGGAGGAGAGGGGTGGCCCGGCCGGCCCCGCCCCGGCCAGCCCCGGCCCCTGTCCCCACCCCAGGGCGCCGGGAGCGCCGAGGCGGGTGCGAAGCAGCAGCCCCCAGGCCAAAAGCCGCGGGCGGGCGGGGGGCAGAGTCCGAGAGCCCTGGGCCGAGCTCCGCGGGACGCCGCGCAGGCAGCGCCGAGCGCGGGGATGGCCGGCAGGGGCTGCCCCAGCCGTCTGGCTCCCCTGCTGGTGCTCGCCCTGCTCTGGCCGGGCCGCGCCGCCGCGGCGGCTGAGGTGAGTGAGCGCGGGGCGGAGGGGCTGGGGTGGCGTGGGGTCCCGCAGCGATTGGAGCGTCACCTGGGGCGATGCGGGGCTTAGCCCCTCGGCCCCCTCTGCCACCGCATCGCGTTCCGGCGTTGGCAAATCGTGAGGAAGAAAAGCTGGATTTATTGTACTTAAAATGATGCGCCCCACCCGCATCAGGTACGTCGCACCCGGGCACGCTGAGGTGAGGTACCGCTATCCCTGCGCCGCTGCCAGGCGGGGATAGGTAGAGGCAGGGAGGCCCCCGCACGGGGCACTTCGTCACCGCTTGTTTCAGGTGCGAAGAAGCAGTACAGCGTGTCGGCGGCCCAGCCGGGCGGGTCGCAGGGCGGCTTCCCGCGCTTCCAGCTGAGGGGCTGCCGTGAGGCGATGGGGGGGGGAGGCTCA